CCCACTTCCCCACCCAGTGTGGCAGCTACTGAGCCCGCTGCAGCGCAGGCCGCCGCTGCTCCCTCTCACGGACCCCGGGTGGGAGCTGTCACTGCGCCATCGCCCCTGGAACCAGGCCCCTCGCTCGTCCCCCACGCTCCGGCGAGCAGTCTTAGAACTGAAACCAGGCACAGAAGCAGGAGCCGGCGCACCCTGCCCGCCTGCCCGCCTGCCCGCCTGCCCGCCTGCCCTCCGCGGCCTCCAGCCTCCCTCCACGTTGCTGGCCAGCGACCCAGCCCTCGCCCGACCCCGCGTCTGCCCTGGGCCTCCAGTCCTTCCCAGCGCTGCCTTTGGGCTTCCGGCTCCTCCTGGACCCCCATGTCACCTTCGGGGCCCCCATCACCCCCTTTTCTTTCTGTACCCCTTCTGATGTGGGAAGGTGGGGACCGCCCCTGAGCTGGAGGTCGGGGAGCCAGCAGGTGTTTGTTGAATGAAGGATGGGGGAGGGCTGGGTGCCTTTCAGGGGGCTGCGGTGGGAGCTGGGCCTTGTTCCCCAGCTCAAGCCCGTCTGACTTTCTGTCTCTGGAACCTGTCACCTGGCCACGGCCTGGGCAGGGCTGGGCTGGGCTCCACTCCAGGGTGAAACAGGAAAGGCAGCTGTGATCACAACAAACACAGGCCTTTGGCTTTCCTTTGTCTGTCCCTGTAGCTTCCTTTTGATGGTGCAGTGCCCTGGGGCAGACCGGGGGGGGGGGGGGCCTCCAGGGCCCGAGGAGCGGCCAGCCTTACTTAGCCTTCCCAGCACTGAAATATAAAATGCTGCCTCTGCCCAGCGGACACTCATGGGCTGGGGGCCAGCGCCCACAGGCCTGCGGGGGCTGCCGCTGTCCTGCTCCCAGGTGTAGGTCATGGAGGGCCATGACGTCCTCATGCTGGCGAGGGGCAGGCACGTGGCTCGGGCATGCGTCACCGGGCATGGCTGGGCAGCTGGCCGAGCCCAGCTCTGGCGGGACTCGGGCTGGGCCTGGAGCCTGGCGGCTCCAGGTGAGGTTGCGGGCTGGGCTGAGTGCTCAGAGGTCTGCGGGCTGGAGGTCGGGCTGTGTTTGAGGCCTCCAGAGACCGGGGCCGCAGGCCAGTGGGGGGACTCCAGCACCCCTGGACTGTCGGAGTGGCCGTGATGGTCAGCAGGGCTGGGAGGTGAGGGAGGCGTGACAGGTGCCAGAGAATTGACTGTCAAGAAAAACAGGAAGTCTGCTACGCGGGAAGGCCGGCAGGGCCGCCTTGGGCCCCCCAGGGCCTGGGGCGTCCTCAGCGCTCTGCCCCTCTTTCCAGGAAGCTGGCAAGATGGCGGAAGCCCACCAGGCCGTGGCTTTCCAGTTCACCGTCACCCCGGACGGGATCGACCTGCGGCTGAGCCACGAGGCCCTGAAGCAGATCTACCTGTCTGGGCTTCACTCCTGGAAGAAGAAGTTCATCAGAATCAAGGTTTCAGAAGTTTGTCTGCATCAGCGCGGCTCTGGGGGGGCCCCAGGCCTCCCACGGCCCGGCCAGACACGCTGGCCCCCCGCCGGCTCACCGGGCCCCGGGGGCGTCTGAGCGGGGGCTGAGGGCTCCCAGAGAGCAGGGCAGAAGTGGGAGCCCGTGAAGCAGTGTGAGCGTAGGCCCCTTCGGCTGACTGAAGCGCCCGCGCGCTTCCCGGGTCTCCTGGTGGTGAACGCTGGCTCGTCTGCGCCTGGGTTCCGGCTTTTCCAAAGGAAGTGGGGGGAGCGGGGCTGCCCCTCCGTGCGCCCGCCCTTGGCAGGCCCAGGAGCCTGAGAGGGAGGGTGTGGGGCGGGGGCAGCCCGGGAGCCAGCCTGGTGGGCAGCTGCGGTCAGCCCCGGGCCTGGCCTGGGCGAGGGCTCATGTACGCTCTCTCCTGGGCGCCCTCCCCTGGCCGGCGCCACCTGCGGGGAGCGGGGAGGGGCGCCGGCCGAGGGCTGGCCCTTCCCGGCTGCTCCTGGACAGGGAGGGTGCCCGGGCCAGCTGGGGGCTTGTCCTGCTGTCCAGCCAGGGGGCGGGGCTGACGGGCAACAGGCGCCAAGAGGCTGCTCCCTCTGCCGCCCGCGTGGCGGTGGGGCCCGACCCTGCGGCCGGCCCTGCCGCACCCCTGTTCAGAGTGGGGGTCTCTCGCCTCGCAGAGGAGCCCCCTGGCGGGGCCCTGCTGGTCCTCGGGGTCGCTCCCTTGGTCAGCCCTCGGGCCTGGCCAGCCTTGTCGGCGTGCCCGCCCTCCCCTGCTAACTTCTGGGGTCTCCTTGGCCCCAGACACACCGTGACGCCTCTCGCCAGCACTGTGCGGCGCGGTGGGCTCTC